TTATGTTCGGATCAATTACACTTTTGTCCCAATTGACATTGCCAGGAGTCACAGATACAGGTAAATGGGGGCCCCATCAAAATGTTGCTATGGGGGCCCCTATGAATTGTATTTACGGCCCTGGTCTGGTGGTCTCGGGTTGTGTTATGGTAGAACCAGCCCCTCTGCGTGCTTTACCTGTTGTGGTCGGGATGAATTTGTTTTCAGCATGTAATGACTTCCACCGGAGAGAGTGTGAGAGAGTGTGTGGGGGGTCATTCATCAAAAGCGGGTGCTGACAGCCACATCCTCCCCCTCAGAGCCGGGCCCCTATCACACCCGACATACAGACACAAAGTGCCTTGTCTTAATGATCCAGACTGCCGCCTGCTTCCTGTGACACTCTGCGGGGCCCAGGCCGGCCCCTTCCACTCGCCCGCACTGACAGCGGCACAAAATTTATAGCGCTGCAGATCCGCCGCAGCCTCTTTTCCAGCCCCGCGTCTGCAGGATGGAGCAGGTGGGGCTGCCAGTGGCCGGCAGGAATTCTGCTGCGAGGAGGTAACGCAGATCTGAAGCCACCTTTTGTCGCCGAGACCAGAGAGGACGCTGCCAGTGATGTAGGTCAGAGTCTGAGGAACATTCGCAGAGCGTTGGCGCTCCAGGATGGAGAGGAAACCGCGTCACGCTTCTGCGTGCACGCCGCTTCCTGGTGAAGTAACAGTAACTGGTCCCCTGCGCCGGTGTTCTATCGAAAAGCTACAACTCGTCGAAATCTCCAACCACCTCACAGCCGGGTACTTGCAAGTTGGAGATTTGCGACCAGACGGCGTTAGACTGCAAAACACAAAGACTGACGGAGGCTCTGCTCAGCTGCATTTTAACAATATTCCGCAGGTGGCAAACTCCACGAGCATTTCTGAAAACGCTAGGCGCGCATGCGCACCGCAACTGTACGGAGCTCCAGTCTTTCTGAGCAACCGGAAGTAAGGTGGTTGCAGGTTTCGATGAGTTGGAGATTTCGATAGGACACCGGCATCGAGCCGCGTTACGCTTTGACACATCATACGTGTCATCGAGGGGTCTTGTATCAAAGGCGTGAGGGAAAAGCAACTAATGCAATCTTCCCGATGTCACATCACTCGGCGGATGTCTATTACTAACCAGCAAACGCTGCGCCTGTGCAAAAATCAGAAGCTGAATTCAAACCAAAAACTTATCTGATTGGTTAAGGGTTAGAAGTTGTACCATACATGCATGGTAAAATGCAGCGGAAACCTTTAGGGCCTGTTCACACCGAGTCCTTGCCTTAATCGCACAGACCTGGTGTGAACGGACCCTTACTTTTGGTTTTGGATAGAGCGGGAAAAGGTTAGAAACTCCCTTGGGTTTTACAGCTGTCTGTGTCCCCGGTGGCAGGATTTAAACTCACTTCCTGTTGTGCTGATAAGAAAAAGGCAGGAGGCATTGAAAAGGTGATATAGTGGTCATCTGGGACAGGAAGTTAAGGTAAATCTCACCAACGGGGACGCAGACAGCTGTGAAACCCAACCCCTTTCCGGCTCTATCCAAAACCAAGAGTAAGGGTCCGTTCACACCAGGTACGTGCGATTAAAGGAGAACTAACTATGGGGGTTAAGGCTTTTCCCCATAGTTCTCCTTAGGGTAACGGGAGGTCACAAACTAGCCTCCTCCCGTCACCCTAGGCTCAGTATATAGAGAGATACAGCGACGCTGCAGCTGAAGCGGATCCCTACAATTATGTCTGGATCTGCCCAGTTGCGTGAGTGACAGCTGGCTCTGACTATCTAGAGGCAGAGCCAGCTGTACCCGCCCCCTCCCCCATCCGTTCCGCCAGTCAGCGCTGGCGGATGGGAGCGGGGAGGGGTGAATCCAGCCCCTCCCCTGTCACGGCAGAGAGCTGTGACAGGATCGAGAGGTGAGCGAACGCTGGTATGTGTTCGCTCACCTCCCGATCTACTGAGCCGACCTGTTACAGTCTCATTGTCACAGGTCGGCTAGAACTATGAGGGGAGTGAAAAGCACTCCTCTCATACTTCTCCTTTAAGGCAAGGACCCGGTGTGAAGGGCCCTAAAGGTTTCGGCTGCATTTTACCACACGTGTAAACCAATCAGTGACGGGCTCGGGGTTTCCCAGGAGACCAGAAACGAAATACAATTCGGAGCAAAATTGTGGCCAAAACGTTTATAACCTTTGTCAGACTTTAAAGGAGAACTGCAGCCTTTCGCGCCGCCGCCCCGTGCTCCCTGAAGCACCGCCCCCTCCAGTTCTTTTTCATTAAAGGAGAACTATGAGGGGGGGGGGGTGCTTTTCACTCCCCTCATAGTTCTAGCCGACCTGTGACAATGAGACTGTCACAGGTCGGCTCAGTAGATCGGGAGGTGAGGGAAAACATACCGGCGTTCGCTCACCTCTCGATCCTGTCACGGCTCTACTTTTTCTTGCATTCTTCCAGCCACCGCACCGTCCACTTCCTCCTCCGGCAGCAAGGGGGCGACGCTCACGTGATGACATGAGTCCTGTAGCAATGTGACCCCCAGCCTATACAATGACGCACCCCCCCAGGGGACGGCGTGCACATAACAGGATCACATGACGAAGGTGACCTGTCAACGCTTAATCAGGGACTTTGTTTCCCCTTCTTCTGGATCAGCTGCGGGGTCGTGGGGGGGTTCTGAGGATGTGATCGGTTCGCGTGAGTCTACAGCCTGAAACTATGTAACACGTTTACAATCTACACGTGGAAACAATGTGATCACGTGTACTGTGTGTGTGTATCAAGGTTGAACCTCTCACCGGGTTTCACGGCGTTCATGACGGCGCGGGACGCCTTGAGCACGGCTTCGTAGATGGCTCTTTGGTCGGCGGTGAATTTGCCGTTGGCGGGGAAGGAGCAGGTGATGTCCGAGCTGTAGCAGTAATATTCTCCTCCCATATCGAAGAGGCTGCAAGGAGAGAGCAGAGGGAGGCCGGACATTACTCATTTGTTCAAGAAGATTATATAAAAAGCAAAAAGACAACACAACAGAGGCGCCGGACCGAATGCAGATCAGACTGACGCGTTTCAAGGGGCCAAAACACTTTATATTCATAGTTACATAGTCGGTGAGGTTGAATAAAGACACAGGTCCAGTGTGTGTGTGTGTGTGTGTGTGTGTGTGTGTGTGACGGGAGGACGCTAGTTTGTGTGCTCCCGTTACCCTAAGGAGAACTATGGGGAAAAACACTGACCCCATAGTTCTCCTTTAAGAGGCCAACACACTCCACCTTCATCAGGGCCACCTGTAGCATGCAGGGCCCCCCGGTGCCATGTGACACGGTTTTGCTGCAGCCGGCATCAGAAATCCAGTGTCAGCTGGTGTCTGGAGCTAAGGGGGGTGGTGAGGTCACTCTGTCACGTGACAGTGCTCAGGCCAAGCCATTGAATGCTAGACCTGAGTGTTGTCACAGGAGTAGAGATCACATGATCATCTATAACCGGGAGCACAGAGAATACAAACCCTCCCACACTGCGTTCCAGAGAAAGAAGACTCAGACCCAGAATGTAATCAGTCTGCTGAAGGCAGGATGAAGCATTTCCTCAGTCTCCCCCTCCCCCATTGATCAGTCTGCTGCAGGCAGGAGGAAGCATTTCCTCAGTCTCCCCCTCCCCCAGTGATCAGTCTGCTGCAGGCAGGAGGAAGCATTTCCTCAGTCTCCCCTCCCCCAGTGATCAGTCTGCTGCAGGCAGGAGGAAGCATTTCCTCAGTCTCCCCTCCCCCAGTGATCAGTCTGCTGCAGGCAGGAGGAAGCATTTCCTCAGTCTCCCCTCCCCCAGTGATCAGCCTGCTGCAGGCAGGAGGAAGCATTCCCTCAGTCTCCCCTCCCCCAGTGATCAGTCTGCTGCAGGCAGGAGGAAGCATTTCCTCAGTCACCCCTATCATCTAGATAAATCGGATATCACCGCCATAAGAGAAGCGGGAAAGCAGCTTCGCCTTCTCTTCATCTGTTACATTGTTTGCTGCAAATCTACAATTGTATGGAACGTGGAAGTTGTGACTTCCTGTCATGACGTGGCGGGATCGTCCTCCGGTCTGAGAGTGATTGTACCCGGGGTAACCTCGGAGTCTGCGGAACGCCGGGGCCGTTCTCTCTCCCTTATCTCCCGGCACAAGCACTCAGACCTTATCGCGCCTTCCATCCTATCTACATCAGCCATCACCATACCGGCGCGTGCTCCATCCCGGGGGGGGAGCCGCCGATCTCAAGGCCCTGCGAAAATTCAATATTTGAACCGTCATTTCTTTTTATCGGCACGAGATAGTCACATGATTAGCGGCAATTAAATGATAACGAGATTGAACAGATCGCAGCGCTCGGAGATAGGCAGATGAGGCGGGAGCGAGCCGCAGACCGTTATCACCAGCGATTGCGAAATAGTTCATTGCCCGCTGACAGAGGCGAGGGTGTAAGGCAAGGGTGGGCAACTCCGCCCCCCCCCACCCCCAGCTGTTGTGGAACTACAAGTCCCATGAGGCATTGCAAGACTGACAGTTACAGCCACGACTCCCAAATGAAAGCTTACAGCGAACGATGCGCGGGTTTCCATTATTATGTCACAGGGCGGAGTGACGCAACACGAGGAGGAGCCGCCAGGCTGCACCTGAGTCACTCAGACATACGCTGCACACGGGCCGCATGCTGCATGTAAACATCCGTGACGTGGGAAGTAGGTGAGGAGTCGCTGCCGTCCTCGTGTGGGGAAGTGAAGTGATTCAGCATCACAAGATGTACAGACACCTGTCACCGATGTCACCGCCTGCGATACGCATTCCGCACAGAGGGCAGGCGGGGGCGCCAACCCCGAGGAGACACCAAAATATAAGAGGCAGCAAGACACTTTCATTTATATCCCCCCACACTCCTCTCCTGTACATACTGCCCCCGTCATACCCCCCACACTCCTCTCCTGTACATACTGCCCCCTGTCATACCCCCCACACTCCTCTCCTGTACATACTGCCCCCTGTCATACCCCCCACACTCCTCTCCTGTACATACTGCCCCCTGTCATACCCCCCACACTCCTCTCCTGTACATACTGCCAAATAGTTCATTGCCCGCTGACAGAGGCGAGGGTGTAAGGCAAGGGTGGGCAACTCCGCCCCCCCCCACCCCCAGCTGTTGTGGAACTACAAGTCCCATGAGGCATTGCAAGACTGACAGTTACAGCCACGACTCCCAAATGAAAGCTTACAGCGAACGATGCGCGGGTTTCCATTATTATGTCACAGGGCGGAGTGACGCAACACGAGGAGGAGCCGCCAGGCTGCACCTGAGTCACTCAGACATACGCTGCACACGGGCCGCATGCTGCATGTAAACATCCGTGACGTGGGAAGTAGGTGAGGAGTCGCTGCCGTCCTCGTGTGGGGAAGTGAAGTGATTCAGCATCACAAGATGTACAGACACCTGTCACCGATGTCACCGCCTGCGATACGCATTCCGCACAGAGGGCAGGCGGGGGCGCCAACCCCGAGGAGACACCAAAATATAAGAGGCAGCAAGACACTTTCATTTATATCCCCCCACACTCCTCTCCTGTACATACTGCCCCCGTCATAC